GACAGAAAAGAACAGAGATCCAGAAATAATGGAGTCAAGTAATCTAATAGATGCAGAGTTCAAAACACTGGTTATAAAGATGCTCAATGAACTTTTGGGAAGTGTAAATTCAGTGAGAACTTCAACAAAGAGATAAAAAACATAAAAATGGAAATGGAAATTATAAAAAGGAATCAGTCTGAAATGAAGAACACATAATCTGAGTATATTAAACAGAATAAACAAAATGAATAAAGAAAATGATCAAATGCCCTATCTAGAGGATGAGAAAGCCAAAGACAATCAGAATGGCAAGAGATGAGATGCCAAGAATAAAAATAATTTAAAGAGCATATGGGATACTATTAAGGGTCCAAATATCCGTCTGATCGGCATAACTGAAGGAAATCAAGATGTTGAACAGTGGTTTGAAGACATAATGATGGAAAACTTCCCTAACCTGGTGAAGGAAATGGACATAAAACCCCAGGAAGCTCAGAGAATTCCAAAAATCAGAGATCCAAAGAGGCCCACACCAAGACACATCATAATTAAAATATCAAAAGTTAAATACAAAGAAAGAATATTAAAAGCAGCAAGAGAAAAACAGATAGTTACTCATAAAGGAACACCCATACTGGCAGCTGATTTCTCAAAAGAAACTATGCAGGACAGAAGCACTTGGCACAAAATATTTGACAGGATGAAGACCCAGGATCTACAACCAAGAATAATTTATCAAACAAAGCTATCATTTGAGTTGAAGAACAGATAAAGAGCTTCTCATACAAAAATAAGCTAAAGGAATTTATCACTACCAAGCCAGTATTACAGGAAATGTTGGAGGGACTTAAGAAGAAAAAGCATGTATCGAAAACAGGAATAAAGAATGGTAACAACTACATTCCTATCAATAAGTACCTCAAATGGAAAAGAACTAAGTGCTCCAACCAAAAGATAGAGTGGATGAATGGAAAGGAAAACAAGACCCTACATGTTGCCTATAAGAGTCTCACTTAAGATTAAAAGACACACAGACTAAAATGAAGGAGATGGAAAAAGATACTGCTTTGATGGACTAGAAAGTATTTAAATCCGATAAAGATAAACACTATATGATTTCACTTAAGTGCAGAATCTAAGGAATAAAAAGAACAAACTAATCAAAAACAGACACAAATATAGTGAATAATTTGGTGACGGGGAGGGGGCTTTGGGGAGCTAGGAGAATGGGGTAAAGGGTTAAAGAAGTACAAATTAGTAGCTGATGAATGGTCACAGGGATGGGAGCACGGCATAGGGAATGCAATTAGCATTAATACATTGGCTAGATGGAGGGTCAAGAGAGGGAGGGATCGTTTTATGAACTACATATATGTCTAATCAATGTACTGTATACTTGAAACTAATTAAAATAAATTTAATAATAAAAAGATGGCTATGTGTGACCAGTGGTGACTATATTAGTGCAGATTTGTAGGATGCCAGCAGGTGAACATCAGCAAAGTCATACTATGTAAACATAGACTCATGCCCATCTAAAGGAGATGCAACAAGTATAATGAAATTTGGGTGCAATGCTGCCAAATGTTTTGATATTTTCAAGGAAACCCAGAAATTCGGACTCCATGTGAAAGTTGTAAATTTTAAAATGTTGTCAACCAACTTTTAAAAAAATTATGTAACCACCATAACCAGACAAATCCAAACCCCATTCAGTTGTTGATCTCTGAATTGTTATTCATTCATTCACTAAATATTTAATGAGTGCCTACTACAGGCCATACCACTTACCCTACTAGATGCTATAGAAACCACAGAAAACACACAAATACCTCTTGAACCGACTTGCAAAAACAGTAATACTAAAATATGCTAGCATATACAAATATGAACAAATCAAAAGGAATATACACCTAACTATTCAAAGTGGTTATTTTGGGTGGCAGGATGGTAGCTGAAAGGAATTTATTATTTCCATCTTGTATATTTCTATGCTGTTTAAATTTTTACAGGATGCATTATTACTTCTGTAAGCCCCAAAATTAACAAAGGCAACTATTTTTCATAATTCCATGGGTTTCCACTGGCCTCAATAAACGCCTTCATATGGTAGACCAGGCCTCCCATTATTTCTCCAGGATTCTTCTCTACCTCTTTCACCCATTCCTAAGCACTAGACCTACTGATTTACTTACACTTCTCAGAAAAAAAAAAAAAAGCTTTAATTTCTATGACTATGCACATCTATTTACATTGCTTAGCTCTGCTCATATGCCAAGCAAACTCCTGCCCATCTCCCATGAGCTATGTGAAATTTTTAAAAAAGTATTCTATTGACACAGAAGTATAACATCAAATGTATATAAGTAAAAAGCATTATCATTTATATCACTGACAATCAAGTGTCACAGAAATAGTGCCTGATATTTTGTAATCCTAGGTTTATCCTTGAGGGTAAAGAATGGGAGAAGAAATCTATTTATACATTTTCAAAGAGCCCATCACTAGACTACACAGAGCCTAAGAAAATCCCGGCTGAAACAACCACTTCAAAATACCGAAGGTCAACAAATATAGCTGGCAGACTTCTAGGATTTCTAAATTAATGATGTGAGAAAATTAAACAATTTGGCTTCTTAGCCTCCAAGAACATTTCAGATCCTTAATTCTTTAAGTACCATCTCCAACTGAGCAAGTACAGCACTCACCAGCACGCACAGCTCAAGCCTAGAAGACAGTTTTAACAACTCTGCTGAAAATGACTATTTCTTCTCTAGTTTCTATGGAAACAGCTGTCAGATTGGCAAAAATAGGACATGTACTTTAAAATAATCATTCAAGCAAAATACACACACGATGGAAGGCTTTAAAAAGATGAATTGGAAGGCAACAGACTTGGTTCTTAAGTTTCCAAGTGTCAGACTGCACCCCTTCACCATGGCTGAGAACGACGGACATGAACCTAAATACTTTTAGTGAGGGTTACACGGCATTGGTCAGTTCCTGAATTCCAAATGAGGTATTTTCATCTTCCTGGACTAAAATGTCACTGAGGACCACATGGCACAATAAAACTGTTGCTCCATTTTACACAATAACGCGCAAGTGGCATTATTTAAATAGTATAAAAAGTGATTGTTGTAGACAAGCTAACTTAGAAATTAAAACTCCCTACAACTGTTTAGACAGAAAACTTTCTATTTTTCATTGCCAAGTTTAGGCAGAACTTTTATTTTCCCTACTTTAGGAGTGAGGAAGTAAAAGAGAGGGCCTGACTCTTGTGATGCCTTAAACAGCTAGAGGCGTTTTTCCACAGGAGGTGTCGATGTAAGGCACACAATGCTGCATTAATAAAAAATACCATTTTTAACAAAGAGCCGCTAAAAGGAAGTAAAGGCAGAGAGGAGAGAGAGGATATCTTCCGGAATAAGCAACCACTTGCCAAGCTGCAACTTGCCAAGGCAGTACCGTGGAGTCCCTGCATTTCACACCGAGAGGAAGGAGGGGGAAGAATGACGCTTTCTTACACATTCCTATTCTGCCCACCCCTTTCGCCCCGACTCCACACGCCCGGCTTTCCCCGTTCCTGCGCGGGCGTCCCTTCGTCCCTCCTGCCCCCACCGCACCCCACCGCACCCCACCGCACCCCACCGCAGTCCTCCCCACCCAACCTCGCCGGTCCTCCAGGGTCCCGCTGCTCACCCCAGCGCCCCTCGAACTTCTCCCCAACCCAGCTCCCGTACTGGGCCCCACCCTCGGGCACGACCCAACTCAGGAACGTCAAAGGCGTCCCGACCAGGACAGACCCCAGCAGTGGCGAAGACAACTCCTCGGACCTGACCTACGCGCAAGCGCGCACCAACCCCAGAAGCCCCGCCTCCTCACTTCCTGCCCTCTGCGCGGGCCTGGGCACCTTTTGCTCCGCCCACACCAGGCCGCCCAGAGTCGTCCTCCGGGCGGCCTGGAGCCGTGCGCGGACTGTGGCCCTCTAGCGCTCCCGCGTGGCCGAAAGAGGGACGTGGCTGTGGGCTGGACTGCTTGCCTGGGAACAGCTTCAGTTATGGTATCCATAGAACTTGACTTAGCAGAGCTGGATGGTCTAAAAGGGGGTGATCCCGGCAAGGTTGTATCCGCTGTAGATTCTAAGGCAGTGCTAGCCAAAAGGAAAGAGACTTGAGGGCCGCCAAGAAACTAAGGCTTCCTGGTTCTGAAGTTGCACTGATAGGAATCTCTGGAGTATGAGAATTACTCTTTCACATGACTTATGGAGAGGCACATTTTAAGAAAGATGAAGTATAACCTGAAGCATCTGGAAGTCAGTTGGAAATAGCAGGCTACGAAACGATATGTATGATACTCTTCATTCATTCCACCAGAAAAATATTTATTGAGCACCAAGCGAATTCTTGGTGCCAAGGATACAGACGTGAACAAGACAAAGACCTGACTTTCACGGACCTTATATCACAGTGAGGACAGATAGACAGTAAGCAAGTAGACAGGTGAATAAACAAGATATCAGATAGTGATATGATTCCATATCAGTTTGTTGTATTTATACTTATATTTTATGCACAGCGAAAAACTATTTTAAAGGATATAACACTATGAACAATTTTAGGTATCACTTTTAAAGAGTTTATAAGTAACGTTTTTCTTTTCTCTTGCTTATCTGTGTTTTATAATTTGCCTTTACTTTAAAAAAAACTATCCTGGCAGATCCCTGACCACTGGTTCCTAAAAACTGAAGTGGCAGGCCTCTGAATCTCCATGAATTTACCTCCCACCCTTTGAGGTACATATGTGTCTTACAAAGGTTTCCCTGGGTATTAGCCACTCTTGCTGATCTTGCCTGATCAGCATGGTGTTATCAGTGTTACAGATGAGTGCGATGTTCTGTGGAGTGTCCAAGTGGTCCAGCTCCTTTTGGACCATATTATGACAGATTGCAGAGCTGGCACATCGGCTGCGATCAGTGCTATTAGATGGTTAGGTCTGCGATAGTCTGTAAACCATTCTCCTGGTTTCAGAAGGAGCCAGACTGGCAAATTAAGTGGAAATATGAGCGGATGACCTTTAGGTATTTAGTGGTGATGTTAATCTTTACCATCATCCCTCCCTCCCCATTCCCTTGGATGAAATATTGGTTTTATTATCTCGACTTGGTAGGGAAGGGACAATTGTAGAAGCTTTCACTCTGTTTTCCGCACCATGAGAACTGAAGGCCAAGGACCTTGTGGAGCTTGCTCCAGCCACCCAATATATATTCCCAATTATGCACCGGCCTCATCAAAAATTTTGCCTTCTCCCCAAGGACAGCATGCTTCCAAACGACCAGTTAATCTGGGAGTACAAAAAGCCTAGTCCCTGTATTTCAATTGAGGACAATGCTGCATGGCCATCCCAGCTCCAGAGCTCGTAGTGGGGTTGACTGAGAAAAC